AGTGATCCAGTGGTCGGAGCAGAGCAAGCGACTGATTCCGATGAACTTCCTCTCAGTACATTGCGACGTTTCATTGCTTATGCCCGCGAACGATGTGGTCCGCGATTATCCGAAGCAGCAGCCGAAAAGTTGGCCAATCAATACGTGCTGATGCGCTCAGGGTCATCTAGACAAGAACAAGAAACCGGGAAACGCAGCGCAATACCCATCACTGTAAGGTAAGTATTCCTGTTTACCTTTCTGCAGGCCACTGTTTTGTTCCTCGCCGCTTAAAGGTCGCGGGATAGCGTAGAAAATTCTGCTTATTGAGCGACTAGTGTATTGCACACGACGTTAATTAGGATATTTTTGTGCTTTTGTATATCCTATTTGTCGCCATTCACTTGTATGACTGATCGTTGACAATCTCGGTAGTTAATAAATCAATACTGTTGTCTCTGGATCAATAACCTTTGGATTCCTGCCAATACATTATAAATATGCTTTTCATAGGCAATTGGAGGCAATCGTCCGTATAGCCGAGGCTCAAGCGAAAATGCGCTTAGCAGCGTTCGCCACAGAAGCCGATGTCGAAGAGGCTTTGCGACTCTTTCAAGTATCCACGTTGGAGGCCGCTATGTCTGGCAGTTTGGAAGGCGCTGAAGGTTTCACCAGTCAAGAAGAACATGACCTAATACTGCGTGTTGAAAAACAGTTGAAACGTCGCTTTGTAATAGGAAGCCAGGTCTCAGAGCACGCAATTTTACAGGATTTTACACGTCAGGTAAGTATATTGGCTTCGCCACCGGTGAACACTAGGCTTCCTCGTATTATGTCACTTAAGCCATTCGTATTCCAACTTATTTCAATCCATTACTGATTGGTTTCCTCCTTTTTGCAATGTTGTTCCTATTTGGTCATTGTGATCGTTCTGCCCCCCATTCCTTTTGTGTGATGTCTCCGTGTCTGTTCAACTCTGTCATTGATGTTCTACAAAACGCGCCGCTTAACGTAACGAACACTGACGTTGAACTTTTTCCCGGACGCAGTGTTGTAGACTTGGTGTATGCTAATGATGCTGTCTTACTCGGTGACAGCGCACCAAAGAATCAAGTTTCGCTGAATCGTCTGGCAAGTGTGGTTACTCGTTATGTTATGTCCTTGGACCGTCAAAGTGCAAGGTGTTATTGCAAGATTTACAGGAACCCGTTTCTGCACTTTCGTTGGGTATGGACACTCTGGAAGTAGTCAAAAGCTTTGTCTGTCTCGAGAGTTGCATAATGCCTGGCGTTGTGGGCGAGAAGATCTCTCAACGCGTGATCAAAGCTAGACCAGCGTTTGCTCATCTGCAGCATCTCGCGCCGGTGTGACATCCCCTTCACTGAAAGGGCTTGTGTATTGCGCAACGGTACGCATTGTGTTGCTCTTTAACTGCGATACTCGGCTTCCCCGATCAGAGCATGTCCGTCTTTGACAACCGTTGTCTGCGCATTGTCGCCCGCGTTTGATGGGAGTATCGCGTGAACAACGATGGGGTCAGACGACATGTGTTAGGGTCAGATTGTCTTTCACTAAACGAAACCATTTCACCGCATCGTCTTAGGTGGCTGAAGCACGTCCTTCGAATACCTGAACGTCAGTAATATTGCGCGCTTCAGCTTTCCTGTCATTCTCTTACTGCTTCATTCAAATGGGAAGTCAAAAGACAGCTACCAAAAAACAAATGTGCATGGTTAATGGTTGTACCAACTGAAATTGGAACTGATGCGCAGTTAGTTTGTGCACTATGTTGGCCATAGGGGTTCACTTTCTTCGCCTGGCAAATGGTGACAATCAGAACGATTCATACGCCTTTCGGATGGCTCAGCGTCAGTCGAAAAGCACCAAGTGTCGTTGCTTATCACATACACGCTCAAATCTAGTCCTACTCGGGTAGTTAAGTAAGTGTCAATGGCCTACTTAATGGCGGTCCACGTTTGCTGACGTCACAATGCTGTCAGAAAACAGACAGCTTTAAAAGGCATATCGGTTGTCAGCAGCACCTCCTCTAACATCGCCGCTGATAGTCCGCGACCGATTGTCCAGTGAGGTGGCCCCCACCTTTTCACGGTTAACCACCAAGGTGGCCGTTCTATCCCCAACCGAGGGGCGCACTCGGTAACATTCTGCTGTGCTATCCGTGGGCAGTGCCGTAGCCACAGCCTGACTACTTTACGGAGCAGTTCAAACGACCTTCTGCTGATGTGTTCATTCCGGCGACTGCAGCGAAGGCTCATTTTCGTCAGGTTATTGAATAGTGCCACTCATCGCCGACCAACAATCACAACGTTCCTTAACCTCAAAGGAGCCCTTGATTCAGTTGATCGTGGTGCTCAAATACATTCACTGCTACGCGAGGACCGCCGCAATCAGAGGTAAACATTTTGGGGCCACAAAATAAGCCCATCGTCGCAATCAGAACACACACACAAACCGTAGGGAAACAAATGTTTTTGACGAGTTCCTTTTCAAGCGATTACAATCACATTTATGTAAGGTAATAACGGGAGGGCGTTTAGTTGGGGTGGAACAGTCGAGGTCAAATAATTANGGGGGGGGGGGGGAGAATACGCTTGTCTCTATTTTTTCTCTTTTGAGATCACTGCACTCGCGTACTACTGGTGGTGTAAGGGTTTCCGTTTCGCTAAACAAATCTTTCGGAACTCGCAGCGGTTTGCCTCTAGGGAGCCCTATTTCACCATTCCTGTTCAACTTTGACGTAGAATACTTACTGGTAAAATCAACTGGAGGAAAAAACTGCGAATAAGAGTGCGCTGATGATATCCTTTCTCTTCTCAAATTTTAGAAGATTCTCAAAACATTGGTGACGGACGTACAAGTTCTCGAACTCCGTTTCGTGATTGTTGCGTGACAGATGACGGTCGCATAGTGAGGGAAGTAACCGCCCAAGTACGAATAGTGTACGCTTATCTGGGACACCTTTGATACAGACATGATGTTTCGTTAAAACTGAAAGATCGTGTATACTGCGTCATTATGTGGTCAGTTCTGCATTACGGTTCCGAGACTATATATTTGCCCGTGGAAGATATTCATGATCTAGAAGTCTTCGACTGCCGATGTTTACCTAGTTTGATGCGGGTTGGATGGAGCGAGTGTGTCTGCAATTCTGGTTAGCCGTCGCGTATTTCCCAATGATTCGGTGGAAAATGCGTTATCACATCGAATTCGCCGGCTAGGATGCATATTGCTCGTACACAGCTTTCGTCTACCTTTGCTGTTTCGGCTGTAAAGTGAAGGTCCACATTTTTGATTGTAAAACCTGCCTTGAGAAAGGTTACCCACGGTCACCGAAAGTTCGGCGAATATAATTCTTTACCGACATCGCTGTATAACATTCACAAGGTCCACATCATTTGGAAGTTTTTTTCTCTTGGTTTGAATGCTTGTGTAGCTGTCTTCGGCATGCATTATTCACCTTTAAAGTGTAAAATGTTGCTGCACGACTTAGTTGGTCTAGCGCCCAACCGCAGTCTAACAGGTTATGTAGGAAGTGAATAAATTTTGCCATTTTGGCAGCTGCATCTCAGACGGCGAACACAGGGGTCGATTTGAGTTTGTCAAGTTTAAACAAATGATTTGGCTGTCTTAAATATTGACACAAGTATCTTTTCAATCTTTTGGCAACGATGCCGTTCATGATTTTCCCCTTGCCACTGATTTGAGCATTCCAATCATTTTACTCTGTCCAAATTGTAAGACAAAGGACTGTAACCAGAACTGTCGCACGAAAGTGCTTGGTTAATGTCGGAAAATGCTTAACTCAACTGCGAACAACATAAGGTTGTCTACGATCGTTGTAGTTCACGATGATCGTGATAATCTATGAACATAAATGGCAGGGCCCACTGAAGATTGCGTTGTTAACACACGGATTGTTTCCGCATTTCTTACAAAGGTGGTTTCGATGTGTTAGGCTGTATGTAATGCTTGAAGATTCAAGTGAATCTGCCGGTTGGAGAACTTACAAATTCCTTCTCTGGGTTCAACGAAGTGAACTTCGCTAATAAGCTGACAGAATTTTCAGACCGACGACTTACCTCAATTACTTATAGTCAGTTGATAATTGTAATGTGTGATTGCCCCATTCGTTCTTTTTCCAGGGGTTTCCCGAGCGCGCAGTGTCAAAAGTGCTGCACTACATGATTCGCCGTGGTGAAGTACAATATCGGATGCAACGGCGCATTCTATATCGCATCAAATGAACAAGGAACACTATTTCATCATAGATGTATGCATTTAACCTTTAAGGATATAGAGTCTGATTCTTACTTATATATTACATGTTTTTTTCGTGAAACTTTTGAATTCTCCAAACTTGTTAGACCATTTGTAACAGTTTTGGGTTTGAAAGGACTGTGATCAGGCTGCTCGCCAAGTCTTGATATCCGCGAGTATAGGAACTTCTATCATTCGTCTAGATTATCTTTGTTGAAGAATAAAGGGAACGGTTAAACATCTGTTCATTTATCAATTTCAGTGTTTATTGACTTTAATTCCATAGCATTCCACCCACAGTTGGTGGTAGGATGTGTACTTAGATGCACTGCCCCTGGTTTTTTTTCATTTTGAAACCAATTATTAAATATAAAACGATGCAATTTTCAGGAACAGGCAAGCTGAAAGTCGATGGGATGCCATTCAGTTCAGTTTAAACAATCATTGAGCATGAACTTCCTGGAGCCGCTTTTGGTTGCTTTCTTTTGGCTGTACATTTGAATGAATAAAAATAGGAAAAAAAGAACGTTGAAAATAGGATTGAAGAGAAAATTGAGAAGTTCAGTGGCTTAATGATGCAAAAGAATTGAGAACATGCATGAACGACACTCAGTGTCTCTAACCATCGGTTACAATCATCCCGAGGTCTCCAGCCAGAGAGCCTAACGGGACCTATACGACCCAGACTCCTCGTTAGGGTTTTCATACCCTCATGCCAGGTCTTAACTTGATCACCTTTGGCTTTCTTCCACCTATTACCTGCCTTGGCTCACCGTAGCAACCTATCTTGTGACATGCGCAACAAATGTCCCAAAAAACGTAATCTAAAGAGGTCGATCATTTGCTCCAGTGGGCGACCGCATTTATCTAAAACTCTGCGCCTAACCTCAGCATTGCTAGTCCGGTTTCTCCACTCGTTCAGTGCAACGCATTTTAAAGTGCACACTTGACACGGCTGCACTGGCATTCAAGCTATCCAGAAAAGCTCGGAACTTACCTGGATCCTCACTTTTGAGTGAGGCAGCGCCAGAGTTTAGAGCGGTCGACTGAGTCAAAAGCCGCTTTCAGATCGAGGAATATAGAATTGGTGGGTCTATGAAAGGAGTGTCTCTTCTAGAATTTGACAAAGAGTGAAGATGTGGTCGATACAACCTCGACCAGGTCTGAAACCAGTCTGATTCTTTCGCGTACACCGTTCATGTGTGGCAGACAATCGACGGAGTGTGATCCCGGCGAGAAGTTAAGAAACCACGGCTGTGAAAAGCCATCCTGTGTAGCTCACAGGGTCATGAGGCACGCAAGCCATCACACCACCTCGAGGTGCAGTATCATCGTGATGGGATGCCATGCAAATTATGATGGAGAAAACGAAACGGTTTTGATGGAATTCGCACAATAATTTGATGATGGCACCACACCCATTTTCGTTTGAACGGAAACGCTTTGAATCGCTTGACAATCTAGGTATTCATTTATGGTATGTGCTTTGCGCCGTTCAAATGCTAAGCGCTTGTTCAAGACTGTCAGGAGCCTGTGCCTGCACTCAGGCTCTGTGGTGGTCAGCTAGAAGTAGTTGAGAGCTTTGTGTACCTCGGGAGCTTGATCGCAGCTGGTGTTGGGGCGATCACATCGCGAATAGTGAAAGCTAGAGCAGCTCTGGTTCACCTACGACACCTGATGCCCGCCATGACATTCGAATGTTCCTTAAGGGAAGGGTGTACATTCCTGCAGTTCGTAGCGTTTCGCTTTACAGCTGCGACACCTGGCCTCTCCGCGTTGAGAATGCTAATCGATTTTCTCTATTCGACCACCAATGTCTCCGGGGCATTGCTCGTGTCTGGTGGGAACATCGGATGGGGAATGATGACTTCCGTCGTCATGCGTTGAGTGTGGATATTCGCTCTCTATCAGAAGTAATCTCTCTACACCGTCTCCGATGGCTTGATCACATAATGTGTATGCCTGCTCATCGACTACCTTTCCGTGCTCTCTTCACAGGTGTTGGGCAAGGCTGAAAGAAGCGGCGCGGCGGTCAGACCATGGCATGGCGTTGAGGTATGAAGAAGCTGGCTTCGGTTAGTGCAGCCCCCTCGTGGGCCTAAGAGATGAGGATTGTCGTTGGTTAGAGACGCTGAGAGATGTGGCTCAAAATATAAGTCAGTGCCTCGAATGCTGTGTAGTTCGCTTGTTGAAGTCCCGTTCCCCTTAAGAAAAAAAAACAAAGTAACACCTGAAAATTTCGAAATTGTACAGTGAAGGAAAAAAATTATCCCATTTATTTGTAGTTTTCCGCCTTTTTTACTATGTTCTTTAACCCAACCCTCGTCCAGTTATTGTTGTTATTGTTGTGACGTTAACACCTTGCTTGTCCGCAAGCTGGTGTTAAATTTATATGTATATATTGTCCGGAGACGTTTAGGATTAGCTGTCATCCGAACTAGGTATTCGCGAAAAAGCTTACAACTTCTTAACTCTGTAACAGCCAGCCTCCCATCATGCCTTCCGAATGCTCATGGCGCATGGTGATAAATCTTGGTTACCTACTCTCAAGAATTATCCAACCTTAGTCAAGTGATTTTTTGAAAGCGAAGGATATCCTGTGCTTACGCAATGCTTCCACTGAGTAATGCACGAACTGTGATGCACATCGGGCAAAGGATGGCTCCACCACAAACCGACTAGATTTCAGACCCGTACGGTGATATTGCTGGTATTGTGACCTAGAGCGACGCAATGAAATGGTTCTGTTTCATGTTTTTTAGATTTAAACTATTGACAATAACTTATCCATCGGATACTGCCCTGGAATAGAATTATTGGGAAAGCGTCCTTTTTCAGTTTTTAGTTCTAAACTGCATTGCCACTACGTGATATAGAGTAGCAAACCTTTCCTTTTAGTATTTTTCGTTCTGGCTATTCGGATGGAATCCTTTTCGCCCTGTGTCCATACTCAAAGAATGTCGGATCGTCGTCCAGTGGTCTAGTGACTCGTAGAAAACGCTCCTCAAATTCACGCAGTAAGAGCATCAGATTCTGAAATCCATATGCACCAAGGGGACCGCCAACTAATACCTCATCTTAGGTCGCAACCAAGCTCGAGGAGTTAAAGGTCTAGTAGGGAAGTCCAGCGAAACAACCATGTCATCAGGTTTGGGACTTATACATGAACAACGCTATTCTGAAAGGATGAAAATCCACCTCAATGACCGCCGTTGTCTCATAAAGAGAAACTGCACACAAACTTGGTCTCACGAATGGTTCAGGAGTTTGTTGAAATTTAACTAGGAAGCATCCCACGGTCCAACTCACCTGAGGCATATGATTAGCATATCAGGGGATTTTGTGTCGAAATTTCAGAGGATGGCTAATATGCATTGTGTGTGTGTATGGAAGTTGTTATCCCTCTTTCTGGCATAGGTGATTTCAGTGAACATTTAAACATGATATAGATACGACTTCGACCAAGTATGTGTTAGTGTCATGCAAAATAGTGCGATTGGTGGTTTCTCTCCATGATCAAAAACTAACAAGACCACCGAGAGTTAAATGCCGTGTCTCAAAGAATAACTATCGACTGTTCCATGCATTACCCAGTGTACCGCCAGGAACTGAGATGATATGTTTCAAATGAGATTTCTGATACATGTATGCTAAATCAATGATACCCTAACCGTAATCTGCAATAAGCAACTTCCCTCGACCGAGCACCGCTCTGTGGAATTATCACTGGTGCCGTCACCACGATGGTCTCATGACTAGCAGCTTTCGAGGATCGAGACGGATGTTCCTGGAGGAGTTCGAGGATGTGGCTGAGTCAGACGGACCGCTGCAAGTTGACGGCGCTCCGAGCTCTTCTCAAGGGCGGTATTGTAAGCGGCGCGAAGAATGCCTCAATCGCGGATTTTGACGCTCCGGCCGAACGCCAAGACGGTGCAGCTCGGAGTTGGTGTAGACCCACTTTTGCATGCCGTGGCCTGTTGGAGCGCGCGCTGCCGACATTGGATGCGAATGCGTCCTCGGAACCACTAGACTGTTCCTCGGAGAGCATCCCAGAGGACACGTGAAAAGGCGAGACACATCAAAGTGCGCGTATCACGGATGTAATGACGTTAGCCGAAGTTGTGAGACATTTCGTCGACCAGTAAGTCTCTGCCGTGCGAACACATGAAGTCCATAACCATGAGCCGCCGTAAGTGGTTAAGGCCATATTGGACAGACTAACAGACGAAGTGGCAGGACTCAAATCAATTTTCGGACGGAAGAAAAATACATGTTACCATTGCGGCAAGCGAGGTCATTGACGGTGAAAATGCCCCGACAGATATAATACCCGATTGGTTCCGGACACACTTTCTCTCAAACATAACAATCATTGGAGCAGTAGATCGCGGGACTGTGCAGGCCAAGTTGGAGATCGAGAGACACAGAGAACTATGCTTGATTGATACATGTGCGGCAGTCTTTGGCCAGACCCCAACCAAATGAGTCACTAGAATCATGGGATACATCAGTTAAAACAGTTGATGGATACCGACTGCGGGTAAATGGGGCAGCAGAGCGGACTGTCCGTGTTGGGAACGGTATAGTTAGGCACGAGCCAGATTATAGTGGGGGCAGATATCTTGCGCAGCTTAGGGGCCGTGGTTGATCTGAACAACGAACAGCTGGTTACCAAATTCGGCACGATCCCACTGTCGCACTCGAAAGGGAAGAAATTATCAGCCTTAAGCAGGTAAACGGAACACACGAATATGTCGCCGTCTTTTCAGCCAATGTTGCAACGATACTCCCATCTTCACAGGCGATGGTGGCCCGTACGGGTTCAGTAACTGGATCGAACACGAAATTCCGATAAAGGCGGAAAAATCTCGAGCCCATGTTTTACGGCCAATTCCATTACACTCGGACGACGAAGCCAAGCGGCAAGTTGAAAGAATGTTGAAGGAAGGAATCATTGAAGGAACTCCAAGTCTGTATGGCTCGCTCGTGTTGCTGGTCAAAAAGCCCAACGGCAAGTTTCGGTTCTGTTTGGATTTTCACCAAGTAAAACACTGACTAAACATACCAGTCCATGTCCCGACTGTGGCAGGAATCGTGATGTAATCTACACGTTACCATCAGCAGATTGTATCGAACCGTCGAAGTACTCGAATAGGTCAAATCCAAGGTTTAGCGTAGGTTTCCAGTTCCGCCAGTCTTGTTCTAGGCTTTTTAAACAATGGTTAAGAGCATACATCCTATTTCGATTTTGCGATCCATAGCGTCTTCGGTGGTCAGCACATCGTTAATGGGACGAGTAGTGTTATCGGCGCACTCCCATTGAAGTTGTTTCTTGGGTATAGTGTAGTTCTACGATGCGCTACATCGTAGAAAGCCTTCATTGGTACATTCTGCGTGGCGACATTAAAAAGAAATGAGGATATAGTGCACTGTACTGGATACAGCGGGGAGCAGCGAAACTTTCCTTGCTCCGTAGTTCGATCTGAGATATAACTTTAGTAGTAAACAGTGGATTTTATAAATTCTAGAGCCTGTACATAAATCTCTAGCCAGATTCAGCGTGAAAGATTTTGTCGCATTCGTTGGTCGTGTCAAAAATCAAGACGTCATGTAAGACCATGCTCTCCTTTGATGTCGAATTTTTGTTCACAAATGTACCTCTGCTGGAGACGGTACTATATTTTCAACACTACTAAAAACAATATTCAGATCGAAATACCCGTGACAAAACTTAAAGAACTTATACTGAGGTGCACTTGGAAGATGGACCATTGAGGAACACAATTGACAGTCCAACTCTATACATCAGATACGTTCATCATCTGTGAATCCAGAACGGACATTATTATGTTACTCAACAACGCTCATCCGGGTATACGATTTGCAACAAAGATAGAAAAAGACAACGTTTTCACCCTTCTGGACATTGGTCTTCGTCGTACAGATGAGGGTTATATCGAAAGAGCGCTATAACGTAAACGCACATGGGTTAGACAGTACACATTCTCAAAGTTTCGTCCCATTGAGATACAAACGTAATTTAGTGTACTGTCTAGCATACAGGGCAAAGCGAATTTGTAGTCCGGGGACTCTGAATGAAGAGCTGACGTACATAAGAGACATCCTCAGGTAGAACGGATATCCAGAGGCGTTTGTTCAATGATATATGGAATCAAGACCAAACGATGAAAAAGAACAATTGGTTAGAAAGGTGTTTGTCAACGCCCCTTTCAAGAGACGGCATGAGAAATCCTGGAATATCGGCTATCCAAAACTATTGTCAACTGTTTTCCTGCAGCACATTTCAGACTTTCATCGAGGACTAAGCCGTTCGTTGTTCAACAACTCAAGTATAAATTGCCTCGCCAGTACCATCCTTTTGTTCTACATCAGTTTACGTGCAATTGTAGTGCGCGTTATATCAGGCGCACCGAGGCGTTTGCCCAAGAGAATATCTGGAGATTGTCCGGCCGCTTTTCGAAAACGAACAGTGGGAAGCTTCAATAGCTCAACCCTGCAACATTTGGTCGATAGTGGACCCAGAAACAACAAGTGCAAGTTTCTTCATTGCATCTAAGAACCACACCAAAGGATTACGTAAGATCCTAACAACTGCGGAATCTATAGCAATTATTATCATGAAGCCGGAGTTGTGCAAGCAACATTCTGGTTCAAGCGCTGCTGTTACCATGATTATAAGAACAATTGCCCATATCCCTATGCGACACTTTCTATTCTCTACCTCCCCTACTCGTCGTTTACTGTCTTTTTTCGCACACTTTCACGCCTGTTTTATTTATTCTTGACTAACACCTTTTATATTGTGTCCATTTCACATATATTTATTCGGCTTCCACCTATCCAATTACAGTGACCGCATAGCTTGTTGTCAACTAAACGTTTTGCACAGAGACATTCATTATACATCAGCGTAGGCCTTGTATTATTCTACTGACTAATCGAACTATATGTTTAGGTATCTGAAGCGATATATCGAAAAGAAATTTCTTCGCGTTTTGACTTCATTCATTTACGTTTAATTCTTCAAATACTGCGGGCACTTGTTTTCTATGGATTTATCCTATTCTCCGCATGAGCCCTGTAGCAGCAGAAGACGGTTGATTCTTGATGGGATTTTCGAATACTGTTGGTCACAGGTGGGAAGATGAACAGGTTCCAACAGACCGCTGTGAACCGGTCATCATGTCGATTTACATGGATCCTCCTGCGAAACCACAGGTGAATTAGTTAATGAACATAACCTCTAAGATTCTCCGTTGAGTGCCCACCGCACGCATACGATTCAGGCTGGTTTTAGACCTCATCGAGGTTGTATAGAACACAGACTCACTGTTCGCTAAATGCTAGAGCAACGGCATTTTTTACACATACTATCTCCGTCTTCCTCGATCTGAAAGAGACTTTCGACTCAGTCTTTGCATGGTGCCGTCTCACTTTAGAATGTGCCCGAGGTTTATTTGATTTTTGCCATCTCTTTATACTGTTTGCCGAAACGGAGTACGAACTTACGGCACTTCTTCGCCCGAGTTCTCCACAGAAAATGGTAATCGTCAGGGTTTCTCTCTTTTTGTTTCTATTTAACTTCGTTACAGATTTAATTCTTGGAAAAGCCTTATCCTCGTGCGGGGATAGCGGCATCAATTTTCTCGCAGGTGGTTGATTCTCTGATCTGGAGTATGCAGACGACATTGTAATGCCAAGTGAAGATTCAGATAAGTCGCAAGCTCTTCGCCATATATATTGAGTGTTAATGTAGCCATGTTTGGTATGCGTTTTGCACCTTCAAAGTGTGAAATTGTAATGAGAGGGCGAGTCGGCTGGCAAAACGTCTATTGATCCAGTTCGAAAACAACCGGTATATGCGTTCGATTAAATACAATCAATTCTCAACCTCGTGGCAGGATGATTCATGCCTCATTCTGTTGGTTTTGGTCCGCCCTTGTCACGTACGTTTCCTCTTCTTCCGCGTGCCGTTCCGACTGGTTTGACCCGTTCGTAGCGCGAGATACGTTGATCGACAACTCCGACGTTGTAATATTTGGTGGATATCTTTCTGGATAGATGCGGATTGTCCGTCGGGCTGTAATTGTCGACTCGTTCGTTTTGAGTGGTAGTCGATATTGTCTCGCGAAGTACTTCCAGCCGCTACATTTGCGCACCTGGTTGAATCGACCCTATTCTTGATTCTTTCGCTAGCCGGGACTCTCTTTGTACCACCTTTCATCACAATATGTTGCTACAAGACCGGGTTGATCCAGCCACAAGGTAACCCTGATTCGGACAGCTATGTATAACCTGGTGGAGGCGTCACAGACGAAGTGTCGGTACGCATACAGAAGGCTCGCTTGACAATTGCCAACTTGAGACATCCGCGGTGCCACCGCGACATCTGGCTGTCTGTGAAGGGGCATGTGTTGCGTAAAGCAGGAACTTGGTCATTAAGAAGACGAGGTCCAAATTGACTTTCAGTCGGTGTTTTAACACTTCCATCGACGCAGCATTGTACGAATCTAGTGGGGCACCCGCACGATCAACATTAAGGTTAGGCGTAAAGTTTTGGGTGATAGCGATCGTTCACTGCAGCAAGTGGTCGACCTCCATATGCTACGCATTTCGCCCCATAGGTTTCCACGGCGAGCGATGTTTATCGAGAAAGAACGCGGTGGGATACCAGGTAAAAGGAACTCAGTCAGTCCTGGCAGGAGTGTATCAAAATCCTAACCATGAGACTGCGTCATATATTGTTGGTGGAAGTTGCACTGTTGATGTTGCCTAGCCTGGCTACGAAACGTCAGCGAACAACACTTACAGCTGGGAGAACACACCACCACCTACATCCATACCCGGAGCTACAATCGCTCCACATTATCTCCAACTGCATCATATAGTTCGCGTTAGGCTCCCTGTAGGGCGACCCTGACGTTATGGTAGTCAGTGTTTAGAGAGAGTGAGCGGCGCTCGTGCATCCATTAATTATTCTTGCAACTTCAATTTATATGACTACTCTATCTTACCCTTCAATTTGCTCCAACATTCCAGTCCTCATTCTATCATTTTATCCAAATAGGCAGACGAAAGTGAGCAGCCAAAACCTGCCCACGAAAGTGCATGGTTATTGGCTGCGAACACTGGAAACAAGCGGCTCTTCAAAGAGAATCGTAGTCTTTACATAACCAAGGTATGTGTTACATCCCACTTGACAAATTTTCGGTTAAAACTACTGCGTTTGCACCGTTCACCGGTACTTGTGGTGAATGTTTGAAAGAAAACTGCTATTCTTCACTTTTGGGCTCACCGCCATTGTTTTCTCTTGTGAATGAAATCTTGATACTAAGCAGACGGTTCCTACGAGTAATTAGAAGCCATTCATCCACGCTGCCGTTGACGCCATTAGAGAAGCAATATGTAAGGGGAAACAGCCGCTGTGCGCAAAAATATCGGGGTTTATCTAATAATAAGTATTTCATATTCCACGCTTGCCTGAGTCCATTTTGTTGGACGATTCGCGTTGCGTTTTCTTTTATAAAAGATCTGCTCATGGGCGGAAAACAGACGGGTTACCCAGTCGAAATCAGGGGCTTCTTAACCAGGGCTTTCTCTCTGTGCCAGGTTGAGTGCTTATTACCGCGATTGTGTGCCGGCCTGTTCAGGTTTTAACGGTTACGATTTGTGCGTTCTACGTCTCCAGAATGAATTTCATGGCACGTTTTTTTTCACCGATATTAGTAGCTCATAGAAGAATGCCCCACTTGAAGTTATAAAGTGGCTGATTGGGGTGTTGGGAGCTTCGCGAACCGCGTTATGAAGGGTTGGGCATATCATATAGCACGGTAAGTGGATCTCATGAATCTAACCATTCTATCAGCAAATTAGGTCTAACGAGGTGTAGTGTCTTTACCGTGGCATCACTCAGGATTCCGCTCTTCCCATCCATAGCATCCCAACGGGTGGCACCAGGTTGAACACTTGAAATCAAACTACGCTTCACTTTGCCCTCCGATGGTCCTCACCAATTCAGTTATTGCAATCAGACTTAAATTGATAAGTTTCGACAGAAACGCAGAAAGGGGTCACGAACTGGCTATAACACACAACTCGACCCTCGTGGGAAATAACTGACATGATCTATCTCAGACAATGTATTCAACGCATACGATCACGTAATTTCCACTGTGTATATAGCAATGTGTGTGTGGGAATCATGTTTAATTGACACGGTATTAACCATCATGTCTGTGACGTGAACGTTTTGGACTAGATGAAGCACAATGGTCAGCTAGAAAAAAAGATAAATAATGAAAAGTCATCAAGGAAAAAGCACAGGACAAGCACATATGCACAAGAAAAAGGTGGAATAAAATGGAATGTTGCACAACTGACTGGAATGATAAATGATCGACGAAATAAATGCGGACAAAATTGGAAAAAACACTCGTACGAATGAAGGAAAATACTCCATGTGATGAGATCACAAACACGATCGAACAAACAACAGAAAGCAGAAGTTGAAATTTGAAGGTGTGTATGTAGATCGTCGATCACAACACCAAGCCATCTTGAACCAGTTTATCCTCATCATCCGGGTCCGTCTCTACAGCTACGTAACCCCCTGGATCCCGGAACGACTTGGTGCGTTTTTGCGACCGGCGTGTTCCAGACACGTTACCCGGTACGGACAGTTTGCGCCGATCGCTAAAAAGCACAGACACATTGTTCTGGCGGCGACGCGACGCCGCCCATCCATGCAAACGACTACGTCTGCGCCATTCAATGATTAGTAGTGCAATGAAACAGCATACTAGACCCAGGCTGAACGCGAGTATTAGGGCAGCGGTATGACCTTCACTTTGATTACGCTCGAGGACGGACAAAACGTCACTTGAATGGTCCGCGGAAGCCGCATTCGGTGCCAATGTGGAGGACGTGCCTAAAATGTGTTAAAAGAAATGGAAACTAATTCCCATTACCAACAGTTTCTGTCAATAAAAAATGGTTTTGCGGGAGAAAAACGTTCTGACAAAAGAGTGCGACTGCGGGCAATAAACCTTTGATTGATCAATCTGGATACTTTAGATTAGCCTATACTTTCAAACACAGGTGAGAATGAGAAGCATCTCGCGTCATGAGAGTGGAAAGGACTACAAATATGAGAGAGAAAGTTCACCGAATGGGAACCCATGGTTAAAAACCCAGACTGATATAACTGACGATCATGCAGCAACTTCACAACCTCCAATCGTTAGTCTACACAACTTCTCTGTTTTCTCTACCAATATTCAAATCTTCCATAGAGTATTTAATAAAACGTTCGAGGCAGAATCGAAGAGAAAATAGAGAATTTCAGTGGACTACGCTTGTAAAGAAATCGAAAATATGGACGAGCGCCACTGTTTACATCACTCGGCCACATCACTGAGTGTCTCCAACCATTGATTACAATGATCCCGAGGTTCCCATCCAGGGACCCTAAAGCGACCTATATGACCGAGTCTCCTGATTAGGGTTTTCATACCCTCGTGCCAGGCATCAGTTCGACCACCCTTGGCTTTGTTTCACCCACCACCTACCTGGGCAAACATCGCTCGCCATGGCAACTTATTTGGTGACATCCGTAGCGCATGCTCCAACCAACGTAATCTATGGTCGACCACGGTTACCTAAAAATCTGCGCTTCACCTCAGCATTGCTCATCCGGTTGTCTCACCATATTTGTGCAATCTCTCATCGAATCACTGTAAGTTCACCCAAAAANCACCACATCCTCGAGCGCTGCCGCTGATCGTCCGCGACCGCTTATTCGGAGAGCCGAGGCCCACCCACGGTTAGCCGTGAGTTGATGGCCGTTCCCCTATCCGCGACCTGGGGACGCGCTCGGTAGCATACAGCTCTGCTCTCTTTTTCTGAGCACCTTCTGTCTATGAACACATCTGCGGATGTAAGACATCAGACAACGCATTTTCTCTCATCGAATCACTGTAAGTTCACCCAAAAAACACGACGCTAAACAAAACATAGACCAGTTCGTTCAAAACACCAAAATGCTAAGGATTATAATTTTGAGTCCGTCTCAGCCGACGAATACTGCGGCGATGCTATGCGTGACGCACTCATACTTGGACTCCAGTCTCATGCCATTTGTACGGAACTGGTTGAACATCTATCAATAACCATCCAGTCTGCATACGATATGACAAGGTCATACGAAGCAAAAGTCCTTCCATATGAGTCGATTAATCCACTTCCTCAAACTACTTTCGCCGAAGATTCTGAACCTGTTTCATCAGCGGCTTCCAAAGAGGCGTGCTATTTTTGTGGCTATTCAAAACACCGACGTACCAGGTGCCTCAATAATGAGGCTGTCTGCAAAGCTTGTGGAGAAGTTGGAAGCTGCATGTAAATCCCAACAATCGATTACATCTGCCCTGAGTCCCTTAATGTTCTTCACTTTTATCGCCGCCGCTCCCACTTGGTGGTCCGTGCCACTACCACCGTTTTTGTTAATAGTTCATCACAATCATCATCATCATACAGCGAGATACAGTGAAGCGAACTTCACTGACCGCTGCCAAGCTTACAATGAACACAAATCGAGTGATAAAGCACAAGACGGGGATGGATTGGGTCCAATTGACGGGAGNCCGCCGCTCCCACTTGGTGGTCCGTGCCACTACCACCGTTTTTGTTAATAGTTCATCACCATCATCATCATCATACAGCGAGATACAGTAAAGCGAACTTCACTGACGGCTGCCAAGCTTACAATGAACACAAATCGAGTGATAAAGCACAAGACGGAGATGGATTGGGTCCAATTGACGGGAGACAAAGTTAGTGAACCTCTATGGTCAACACAGAGTACACAATCTAAGTGTGCGGTTTCGGAGTATTTTGAACCCCAAACCGGAAGACGAGAGACCTACTCTACCTAGTCGCTCTGTGCATTTCTTCATGCCTCGTCTCCACGTCATATGCTGGCCTCCACACGGCTTTTTCCAGCCTGCAACAGTCACTGCGAATAAGGCGCGTTGCGGTAGGCGGCCGTCGAACATACGCAAGACGTCCTAACCAATGAAGCCTATTGAGCTGGATTCGATGCGCTAGCGAGTTCTTGTTCGATGCATTCCTAAACACCCGGATACTTACTTCTAAGTCACTAGCGCGCTCACTCCATACAACCTGGGTCAGAGTACGTAAGCATCGATTGTCGAAAACCACTAGACGACGGATATCTTCTATCTGCAAGTTCAAGGTCTCACAACCGTAAAGCAGAACTGATCGCGCAATAGCGCAGTATATGCGACTTTTCAACTTCAGTGGAACGTCATGTCGCCGCCACATGTGTTTCAGTCTTGCGTCCACTGCTCGAGCCATAGAAAGGTGGGCGATTATCTCCTTTGATGCACTACTGTCGTTGGTCACGCAGCTACCTAAGTACGAGAAGCAGTCAACGACAGCTAATTCCTGACCGTCTAGTTTCAGAGCAGAACTCGGCGACACTCAGTCCTGTAGCATTACTTTGCACTTTGAAGGTGCAAAGCACAGGCCGAATGGAGCGACAGAACTTACTAATCTGGCAAGTGCTCTGTGTGCATCCTCCATACATTTGAACAAGCAGACGATGCCGTCAGCGTACTCCAAATCGCACAGCTTTTCTCCAGCTGCCCATTCAATACCAACATTTTGGAAACCACTTAGTGCGTTCTCCGGCATTTCGTCTATGATGAAATTGAACAGGGGCAGCGAAAGAGGACGCCCTTGATGAGCGCCGCTGCTAGTCAAGAACGACCTACTAAGCTC